AAGTCAGCTGCTGCTGAAACTGATCAGGGGCTGATTCCAGGAAGCTGGGGAAGAGCAGCTCTGCCTCGGGCTTCCTGGAGTCAGCCGCTGGTCAGTTTCAGCAGTTGCTGAATCGGGGACAGCTGGGGTGCTGCCGGGTTGGTCCTGCAGCCCCGAGGGGCAGCGCTACGGGACCTACCCAGCAGCACTCCAGCTGCTCTGCCCCCGGCTTCCCCGATTCAGCTGCTGGTTAGTTTTAGCAGCAGCTGAATTGGAGAAGCTGGGGGCAGAGCAGCTCCAATGTTCCGGCTGCCCGGAGCACTTCCAGGTTCCTGATGGTGCCGGACCATCAGGAGTGCCGGACCATCAGAGTTTTACTGTAGTATTTTCCACATCTGAGAAGATGAATTCCCTTGGAGACTAATGTAAAGATTTCAATGGGACTACTCACATGTAAAATTAAGACTATGCACTATAGTGTAGAGGCTTGGTGCCCTATGTTATTAATGGATTAGTGATTAATTTATGTCCTTTATAAGCAGTTTTAAGTTGAAATTGTCAGTTTAACAAAAATTTAAACTATTTTAGTCTTTCAGAGCCAGACTCCATAGTTCCAGATTCGCCAAAACAACCACAAAATCAAACCAATCCTATAGGTACGTTACAGGTAAGATGTACCTTTTTTTATCTTCAGACCATCATGCTATATAGTTCAAATATGTTAATAAAGTGTTTCTTACATGAAATTAATAGTGGATAGCCTGAATTTAAAATGTATTCTGGATCTTAGACCTTTCAGGGATTATTTGCCTCAAACTGAAAGCTATTTTTGAACTCATTTGAATATATCTTTCTTATTATTTTTTCTTTCTTTCTTTTTTAGTGACAGAAGGCAGCATAGACAGCCCAGAGCAAGTAGTTCAGGTCAGAAAAGAGCAAGCGCTAGTTGTGTTCACTAGTTGGGTTTCCCACACTAGTTGTATGGGAAAGCATAGAGAGCCAGCTGTAGTGAGAATATGAAATGTATATGTAACTAGCTTTGCTATAATAAGTACACTTAAATCCAGTTAATGCTGTCAAAATAAAAACATGAACAGGTTTAAATATAAACATTTGGATTCCTGTACTATAAGTTTTTTTTTTTAACGTTTGCAAAGCTGGTTGAAATTGGAGACTAATAGACAAAATCATCTGTTTATTTTTAACGTGTTCTGATGAATTCATGGTATTCTGTATTTCTGAAATCTAGAGAGTTTGTGGAAGAAGAAGAAAAGGCTGTATAGATGTCTGCCAATTTAAATAATGTGTTTCATGTTTGTTTTGTTTGGTGTTTTCATATGAAACATTTATTACTACAGTTTGCATTAAGATCTGAAGTTTTAACACTGTAGGATGAAAGTAGGGATGTGAACTGGTAACTGGTTAACATAATGGTCTGGGAGGTAGGATCCCTTCTTTGACCCCATGCTGCCATCTCCATCCAGCTGTGAGTCCATAGGCTGGGTGGAGCTGGCAGCCCTCCCCCCTCCCTGCCATTTTTGCACCCTCCCTCTCTCTGACCGTGAAGCTGCTGACTCCTAATCCATGCAGCCCAGTGGGGTGGAGCAGCCCCTGGAACCACTGACTAGGTCTACACTACAAAGAAAAGCAGGAAAAAGATATGCAAATTGCAAACTAAATGTTTTTCCACTTTTCTTTTGAAAGAGGCTTTTCCGAAATTCAGTGTGTCTACACAGCACCAAATTTCGGAAAAATCTTCTCTTTCAAGCCATCCCTTCTTTCTCGTGAAATGAGGTTTACAGGGCTGGCAAAAGAATGTGTCTGCTTTTTCAAATTTGTTTTTGGAAAAGCGGATGCATTCCTTGGACACGACATAGCTTTTCTGGGATACATCCGGTATCCTGAAAAAGAGCTGCAGGCTAGACGTAGCCACTCTGGCAGGCAGAGGGGCCACTCCAGCGCAGAACCCCTCGCCTATCCTCATTTAATCAATTAACCGGTTAAACTTAACTTTTAGCCAAACTAATTAAACAGGATTTTCTATCCCTAGATGAAACCTTAAGATCTAAATGCAGAGTGGCTCCAATCCAGTAAAGTACTCAGGCAAGTTTGCCTTGTTGAATTGGAACTAGAGTGCTCAGTACTTTGTGGGATTGAGACCAGGCACCCAACCCCGAAGACAGTTTTTGCATGTGCCTTAAACACAAATAGTCACATTGACGTTGAGGGAGCTTCATGTTAAGTGAAACTGTTTGCAGTATTTTGACCTAAATTTACTTGCATGGCTCTGAAAAATCTCATGGTTCGTGAATGACTAGTTGTAAGTAAGAATCAAAACCTGAAAATCTCCTACTGGAGATGAGATTTGTATGGTGATGCTTTTTCATAGATATTTAAGGTAGATGATACAGAAATCTTATCTTAAGACATGCTCTTCCCTTAACATCTTTTATTAATGAATAAATCCTTAGTCACATTTTGACCATTGCTTTTAAAATAAATCTAGTCAATGTATTTCTCTTACACCTTGTCATCTGCTTACAAATAATCAGTTTATGTACCATTCTGCTCTTTCAGATCTAATAGAGAAACTTTAGTTAAAAGATGTCTTACTGCGAGATCAAAAAGAAAAATTCACTGACAGCATGAATAGGATTGTGTTTTTTCAATTACTTCTCTGTAGCTGTGTTTTTATTTCATTGCTGTAGCTACAGTATTGCATTATGTGATATGTTCACTGTCACTAGTTTTGTTAATTGACTATCTTAAGCTGTCTGGTCTTGCCAAATCAGTACTAATTTGGATAGTCATTAACAGAATTGAATATAATAGCTCAGAACGATTAAAGGAGGAGATGGCAAATAGTCAAGCTTTAAAGCTTGACTAAGAGATTCTGGCTGATTTTTAACTTTTCTGAACAGGCCAGTTCATCTCTCTCTTACACAGCATGCAAAATCCTGCCAGTCTAAAAAGAAAAAGCTGAGGATCAAACATCCTATATAACCACCCTATATCCTTTCATTTTTAGGACAACACAGCTCTTTAAAAATGTAACTTACTAGTGTTCTGGGGGATTTTACATGTGCCACTCATAATTGAAAATACTGGAACTGAACAGCTTTTATTTGTTTGTCACCCTCTCTTCTTTGACTTATGTCATTGTGGATGGGATACATCCGGTATCCTGAAAAAGAGCTGCAGGCTAGACGTAGCCACTCTGGCAGGCAGAGGGGCCACTCCAGCGCAGAACCCCTCGCCTATCCTCATTTAATCAATTAACCGGTTAAACTTAACTTTTAGCCAAACTAATTAAACAGGATTTTCTATCCCTAGATGAAACCTTAAGATCTAAATGCAGAGTGGCTCCAATCCAGTAAAGTACTCAGGCAAGTTTGCCTTGTTGAATTGGAACTAGAGTGCTCAGTACTTTGTGGGATTGAGACCAGGCACCCAACCCCGAAGACAGTTTTTGCATGTGCCTTAAACACAAATAGTCACATTGACGTTGAGGGAGCTTCATGTTAAGTGAAACTGTTTGCAGTATTTTGACCTAAATTTACTTGCATGGCTCTGAAAAATCTCATGGTTCGTGAATGACTAGTTGTAAGTAAGAATCAAAACCTGAAAATCTCCTACTGGAGATGAGATTTGTATGGTGATGCTTTTTCATAGATATTTAAGGTAGATGATACAGAAATCTTATCTTAAGACATGCTCTTCCCTTAACATCTTTTATTAATGAATAAATCCTTAGTCACATTTTGACCATTGCTTTTAAAATAAATCTAGTCAATGTATTTCTCTTACACCTTGTCATCTGCTTACAAATAATCAGTTTATGTACCATTCTGCTCTTTCAGATCTAATAGAGAAACTTTAGTTAAAAGATGTCTTACTGCGAGATCAAAAAGAAAAATTCACTGACAGCATGAATAGGATTGTGTTTTTTCAATTACTTCTCTGTAGCTGTGTTTTTATTTCATTGCTGTAGCTACAGTATTGCATTATGTGATATGTTCACTGTCACTAGTTTTGTTAATTGACTATCTTAAGCTGTCTGGTCTTGCCAAATCAGTACTAATTTGGATAGTCATTAACAGAATTGAATATAATAGCTCAGAACGATTAAAGGAGGAGATGGCAAATAGTCAAGCTTTAAAGCTTGACTAAGAGATTCTGGCTGATTTTTAACTTTTCTGAACAGGCCAGTTCATCTCTCTCTTACACAGCATGCAAAATCCTGCCAGTCTAAAAAGAAAAAGCTGAGGATCAAACATCCTATATAACCACCCTATATCCTTTCATTTTTAGGACAACACAGCTCTTTAAAAATGTAACTTACTAGTGTTCTGGGGGATTTTACATGTGCCACTCATAATTGAAAATACTGGAACTGAACAGCTTTTATTTGTTTGTCACCCTCTCTTCTTTGACTTATGTCATTGTGGATAATTGATACCCCTGTGTTTTCCCACATCAATATTAGGGATGTTAAAATGCGGTTAATTGAGTAGTTGACTAGTCGATGGAATTTCCATCAACTACTCGATAGGCACTTCCACATTCCTCCTTTGAAAAGTACAAGAGCCCCTGCTGACTCTGGGCTGCATGCAGGTGCCTGTTTTGAAATGTACAAGAGTCCCCAGCAGGTGCTTTTCAAAGTGCATTTCAAAGCCATGGAGTCTGAGTCAGTGGGAGTCTCCCGCTGACCCTGGGCTCCATGCTACACTGCATGCTGCGCATAGCCCCAGGGCCAGCTGCCCCTTTGAAACGCACAAAGGCGGCGTTTCAAAGGGCAGCTGCCGTGGAGCCAAGGGTCAGCTGGAGACTCGCCAGCTGATCCTGGGTTCTGTGTGGCACTTCCCCAGAATGCTGCCTCTGACATTTCAAAGGGGCAGTGCCGTGGAGCCCGGGGTCAGCTAGGAACTTTCAGCTGATGCTGGGCTCCACACAGCAGCAGAACCTGGGGTCTGCTTGGGAGTCCCCATCTGACCTTGGGTTCTGGAAAAATGCCGTGCAAAGCTTGGGATCAGCTGGGGAGTCCCCAACTGACCCCTGGGCTCCATGGCTGCCCCTTTGAAATGCGCTAAGGTGGCGTTTTAAAGGGGGCAGCCGCCACACAGCTGATCTGTGATCAGCTGCCCCTTTGAAAGGCTACTTTGAAGTACCTCTCTACCTCCCCTCCCCTTTTGCTGGCTCTATATCATAGAGGCGGCAAGGAGGAGGCGGGGAAATAGACTAGGCAACAGGCTATCCAATAAGCAAATGCTTATCAGATAGTCAACTAGTCTTTAACATCCCTAATCAATATATTGTACTCTTCAAACTATAAGAAATATTTCAGTGTCATGGTGGTAAATGTGTTTGAAAAATGGATAGTTAAGTTTTGCTAAAGAAAGATGGTAGCTGTTTAAAAGGGATGTTTAGAGACAAACCAAAGCAGAGTTGCTTGCATATTCAGATCTAACCTCTGTTTCTCTAGGAACTGGCTGTTAAGAAAGGTTGGAGACTTCCTGAATATTCACTTGCACAGGAGTTGGGGCCTCCTCACAAGCGGGAGTTTGCCATGACTTGCAGAATAGAAACATTTATAGAAACTGGTATATATTTTTTAAATCTCACAATTTCGCAATACCTAATGAATTGTGATTGTTGCCTCCCTCCATTTTATTTATATTTTAATATTGTACCTATTGGTCCTTTTAAAAAGCAGTTTCATGATTTACAAAATGCATCATTAGTACAACTAAAATGTTTGCTGTTAATGTTTGGACAGTGAAGACACATTTTCAGTTTCCTAATGTTAAGGAAGAGACCATATTAAAAAGCATTCCATTATTTAACTTGAAAATGCTGCAAGTTATGGTGTTAAATTTTAAAATGCAGACTTGCTGTGCTTTTAAATATTAGGATAAGTGATATTCTGCATGATAGTTCTGTCTTACTACCTTGATAAGTGCAAGAGAATGCATAATTACATTGCACTGATATTCTAAACAGTGCTAGTATATAAGACTTTAAATCAAGCTATTTAATTGTTGTGTTGAGAAATGTTTTAGATGCAATAGAAAGTGTTGAATGATACCTCTACAGTATACTGAATTAAAATGTTCCATTCTAAATTAACATACTCTGACATCATGAATAATAATATGCTATGTAGATACATAGAAATACTATTTCAACAACAATTATTTGCTGAATGACATTCATGCATTGTGCATGTTAGATAACCTCCAAAAGTTTTGTGTTGGCACTTAACTCCCTTGTATAGTTAATAAGTATAGATTTTGCTCATAAATTATTCTTGACCAGCCTTTCAACCTAGTGATCAGCATGTGACTAACTATGAATAACCTATGCACAAATGAGATTGTTCTGAAATTTTTTGGTTGTGCTTAGTGACATTGTAATATAGAATTTAGGCTTTGAGAAGTTGTGTAGGGGGATGGTAAGGAGGGAGAAGTAATTTGAAATACTAAGTGCAAGACACTGACTCTTCTTCCTCAGCACAGGTATTAACCTCACGTTTTGTAACTCAGTAATAATGATAGAGGCAAATAACTGTGTCTGGCCCTAAGTTTTTAAATGCTTAATGTGTTTTTTACATCTGAGAAATGAGAGGTTTACTTTAATTTAATGGAGCTTCTAGGAGAATACTGCTCTTTAACTTAAACACATTGTAAACCCTGTTTCCTTAGTGTACAGGCAGTCCCCGGGTTACGTACAAGATAGGGACTGTAGGTTTGTTCTTAAGTTGAATTTGTATGTAAGTTGGAACTGGTACATATTGTAGGAGAAACTCTAGCCAAACATTTCTCCAGAGCTCAGTTTTATTCTCCCACACCTCACTTCCCTCAGTCCTTTATTCTCAAGCTGAGGTGTCTGCTGAGAAAAGCCGCTCCGCATCTCCCTGGTCTGCTGGGGGGAAGCAGCTAGTGCGGGGTTGCCTCACCCCGTTTGGTTTGCCTCACCCCATTTGTAAGTAGGGATCCGATGTAAGTCGGATCCATGTAACCCGGGGACTGCCTGTACTTTGTAAGACTAGATCAAAAGTTCTCCAAGTACCCCAAATATCTTCAACCAGTAGTTTTTAGCATTGTATTTACAAAGAGACTTTCAGGTTGAATTCAAATCCAGGTGGTCAGTGATTTGGATCACCTATTTAAATCAAAAGCAGGCTGCTAATGATTAAAATGTTGCCATCTAATGCCTCTTTGGTAGTCTTCATGAAGTGAGTTGATTTTATTTTAGTTCTTAATGTGTTCTTAAGGTGTTCTCCATCACAGAACCTATCATTGCAATTAACTAGCACCAATAGTTGTAGTCTTAGCCAAAAGTCCCAGGATTAACTGGATTTGTAGACTCAAGTGTTCTTTCATTAGAGGAGGCGATCACTTCAGATTAACACCATGTTATTCTAGAACAGTATGTGAACTTTCACAATTTCACATATTCTGCCTGTTCTGAATACAACTAGAAGGCTTCAGGTTTCTTAACTAAGTACCTTTTAGTTGTATTACTCAGATTTTCCTTCTTTTGCAAGAATTGTAAGAGTTGGCTGCCAGAGTGTTTGTGTCAAGATATTATTTAAAAGGTTTTATAATAGTAAATTTATTTGTGAAATCCAAATGTGTCCAAAGGCCAAATTCTGCTTATCTACAGATTGGATAATCAAACTGTACTAATTTAGGAACTCAATGTTGCAGCAGTGAATCCCTAATAATAGTCCACAGTATTTCACATAAGCATTCAAAAAGCAGTCAGATAGTAACAACTTATTTCTTACTGTTTGTGATAAATTGGAACCAGCAACCTGCAGATGAATTATCAATCCTTTGAGCCACTATGTCCACTGCAGTGCATTTTTCTCTTGTTAATAACCTCTGGTTTTGTTTCTTTATGCAGGGACTGGGACATCTAAGAAACTAGCAAAACGAAATGCTGCTGAAAAATTACTTGCCAAATTCCACAGTTTCCCTCCAGATAGCATCAATATTTCCTTAGTAAGTAATGGGCAGAGCAGCATAAGTGCCATAGATCCTGTCAGACAATTCAAGTTATGAAAAAGCAAAATATGGTAGACACTTCATTAGCAAAGTCTTATGCCATATTCTTATTTTTAAGAGGACCCAAAAACTCTGTGCCACCATCCAAATTTGCATCAGATTATTATGACATTGGTGGAAGAGATTATATAGTGACAGCCACCATTAAAAATAGTTATTCTTCTCTGTGCTATTCTTATTAATAGGCTTCAGATACCCCATCCTATCATTTAACAAAACAAGGGAAAGGAATAGAACACAAAGCTATTTTGGGAGGGAAGAAAAAGGAAGTGGGTTTTGCCCAAAAAAGCTCATGATACTCTCTCTATATATTTTTTGTAAGTCTCTAAGGTGCTACAGGACTACTTGTGGTTTCTTCAAATAAAGATATGTTATATGTAGATACCCTTGTTTGACATTCTAACAAAGAAAATCAAACAGGGAGAACTTATTTGATGAGTAACATAAGGAATCTCAAGAAGTGGGAGAGGGGAAATATAGTGCAAAAAATAAAGTGATTAGTGTTTTAGAATCTGCTTACAACAATAATAAATTATAATACCTTGACACAGACAACACGTGCTGATGAAATATAAGTATTTGCCCAATTAAGTTATTGGGAAACATAATACAAACCCAAAACATGGTGGCCTATTTAAGTGTACGTTCTGGGACAGGATAAGTTTGTTCACACTAAATTTGCACAGTGTATCTAAGATATCAAGGAGGCCACCAGGCAGCTGCTGCTGGCAGCTGTATATATACTTTACTTTCATTAAGCAGTAGTGCACATCACTTTATTCAACAGTACTGTCAACACGTTCTTTTGTAACAGGCACTGTGGAGGAAGCAACTATGCAAGAGGCATAGGAATGCATGGTCTGACCCATTTATAAGGAGTGGAGAGTTGAGATTGGCCAAAGAGGAGGAGAAGACACCAGGTGTGCTTGTGAGGAGAAGATGAGCAAATATGGGGAAAAAATTAATAAAAATGAGGGAGAACGCAGGCAGAAAGACTGTTTTAATCAGGCCAAAGAGTAGTGTAAGGGAATGGCGTAGTGGGCAGCCAGGCACTGTTCCATCATTCGGGCAGTTGAACAAAAGAACTGGGAATAACTGACATACTATCTGAAGATGCCATGTGGAAATCTGAATTTTCTGTGTTTTTGTAGATGAAAGTGATTATTGTATGACTTTTGTTGCTGAACAGCATTTTATTAATACATAAACAAAACTAAACCCTATTCAAATGTTTTCAGGGAAATGAAGTTGGAAGTAATTTAGGCTGTACCTGGGATGCCTTACGGAACTCATCAGAAGAAAAAATTATGTTGCTGAAGAGAAGTCCCCTGAGTATTCCTAATACAGACTACGTCCAACTGCTTGAAGAACTTGCTGAAGAACAAGGTTTTGTTGTAACATATTTGAATATAGGTATGAAATTTGGTATCTTAGAATTGTTATACATGAAGGATACATTCCTCCTCACAAACAAAACAAGCAGTGATGATAAATAAGAGCTCTGCTCATACTGTTAACTTTGCCTAGAAACTCTGAGCCTGCATTGGATATATGGGTGGATCCTGCATTCATATGCAGCTCCACTGAAGCCATGGTTTGTCCACTTGAGTATGACTGAAGCCTAAATTACTGTAACTACAACGGGATGGTTCTACAGATTTGGTCATTATTTATGGCCATCAGCACAAGGGCCAAAGACTTTCATATTGCCACTTACTGCAATATCAGACGTTTGGTCAGTCTAACTACAATTGTAAACTTTCCCTTCTATTCTGTTGTTCTGGTTTTTAAATCTCCTTATCGCCTTCCTCCCGTGTGTTATCTCCACTTGATTGTGACAATCATGCAACTAGGAAAAGCAGAATAGCTACAAGACTGTAATATCACTTACTTTTATTGCATTTTTAAGATAAACAAAGCATAGGCAGTCTGGACTACACAGGCAAATAGATGTCCAGATTAATAAGAAGTTATGTTGGCACAAAAGTATTAGATTTGATAAGGAAAGGTAAGATTGAAATCTTAGCTCACATTTTAATGATATCGTAGAATGCTGGATCTGGAAGGGACCTCTAGAGGTCATTGAGTCCAGTCCCCTGTTCTCATGGCAGGACCCAGTACCATCTAGACTATCCCAGATAGACATCTATCTAACCTGCTCTGAAATATCTCCAGAGATGGAGATTCTACAACCTCCCTAGGCAACTTATTCCAGTATTTAACCACCCTGGAAGCTAGGAAGTTTTTCCTAATGTCCAGCCTAAACCTCCCTTGCTGCAGTTTAAGCCCATTGCTTCTTGTCCTAATGTAGTAATAAATTTACGAGTATCCAGCAGAGCTGCTATTCTAAAAAAGTTAGAATTTTGCAAAACATTTGATACTTACATAGTTAATATTTACAATCCTTCTTTCCAGAGTTACTAACAAAATAACTATATATGCTACATAGCAGAAACCGAAAGAGTTGGATGGCCTATTCCAGATAGTCAACATTCTGTTGTTATCCTTAATACTTTCCAACAATAAGTGTTTTGCAAAATATTCTGAATAAGTAGTGACTAAAAGTCAGTGTGACTGTAGAAGTGATTTTAATGCATGTCACTTGGAAACATTTTAGGAAAACAAGGGAACTTGTGCAGTGACTTATACAAGGCATAATGTTGAACTAATTTTTTGTTTATATTTCAGAGGAGCTGAGTGTGAATGGACAATACCAATGTCTTGCTGAACTCTCGACCAACCCAGTCACAGTTTGCCACGGTACTGGGATTTCTTGGGGCAACGCTCACAATGTTGCTGCTCACAGTGCATTACAGTATTTAAAGATTATGGCTGGAAGAAAATGAAATTAACTTTTTTTCTATTTCAGATAAAAATAAGATATTTCAAAAGTTGGATGTTTTCCCATATATGTAGCTCAGATTTATTTTGGGCTATTTTTAAATCACCCCACAAACCCCATTTTAGTTATGCATTGCTTTGAAATGGGTCAGTTACCATAAGGTTTTCATTTTGGATTAGTTTACTGTATTTAGTTCAGTATTGTAAAGCAATGACGAAATTCAGTTGCAGCTCACTGAAGCATAAATTCTCCCGTAAGGAAAAAAGGGAGAACAATTTTATACCAGAATTAGAGAACACAGACATTAAAGATGGTAGCCATATCCTGCAATGTGCTGAATATCCAAACACATTATAGTTTTCAGTGGGACTTAGGGATTATCTGTTCCTTTTAGGGACAGCCCTTTGAAGAGCATATTCAGTTGCTGTTTATATCCCAGTGAAAATATTTTTGATTACATGTTTTAAAAGATTGGCATGGTGTTTGATAAGTGTTCCATTTTATTTTTACTTCATTGTGTGATCTTTTTAAATCCATTTTCTGAGAATGAAATCTGAAAACATCATAATGGCTACAGAAACATCACTGCACTCTTTTAATAAAGATATCTATAACTGTCATTGGCTATTCTTTAATAACTTATTTAAGCTAACTGCTGTAACTGGTATTTTTCATCGTATCTTACTAGTTCAGTCACACATTCCAAGAAAAGGGATATATGTTAAAGGTACTGCATTTAGGGAATACATTTGTTACACCAGATGTAATGTTAGAATGATAGGTAATTACAATGCAGGAATTCAGTACAAGGAGAGAGAGAGAGAGAGAGAGAGAGAATGAATAGGTTCCTTGTGTTTTAGCCATTCAGAAAAGCTATACTGAAAAGCCTCATTTAAAAAAAAAAATACAAATAAACTGGTTTTTAATTGAAGCAAGTAGTCAGCAGTCTAATTTGGTTACATTTGGAAAATAGACTCACTTTTTTCAAGTACTTTGGCTGGAAATTAATGTTTGCTGATACAATACACTTTTCTTTAGGCCTATAATAAAGCAAGGAAACAGTTTTTTAGAGTTTGTTAGCATTTTTGCTGTTACATATTGTATGAATCTCAGAACAGATTGTGATCCTGCTTTTGCTTAACATTTCATGTAATATTTAGGCAGGAAAGTCAATGTCAGCATGTCCTGTGTTACCAGGTGACTGTTACACATCAATCCAGATACTAAAAGCTGCAGCTTTATTATAAATATTTCAGGGGAGAAAGGTTGCATGGTTCTGAGGAGGAATTTATGCAAATCAATTGCTTGGCTTGCTCTTTGGCTTCTGGCTGTAGATTATCTGGAAGAGCCCAGCAACCTCCCATCTCTCCTGCTATGTCTCTCACCTGTGGAATGGGTGTATCTGTTAGATTGGACGGGAGGAAAAACAAGTTGCACTGTTAGCTCCTACATTTGCCTCCTACACCCAGATCATTAAAATTGAAAAGAGAGACTATTGAGAGGGTATTTAGGTGTCAGTTTTATATGCACGTCCACAGAGATCAGCCACACACAACTGCAAAAACTACTAGCTTAAGATGTTTCCTTATGTTTTTATTTTAAGAAATTAAATTATTGAGAAAAATGACATTTAATTTCACATCATTTTGCCAGTTTTGTATGCAGTATCTTGAATGGCCAGATGAGGACACTGGCTACACAGTATATATCAGAAATTCAGTAGCAGACACCTCAAGGGAGAGAGTTGAAAGATTGCATACTTGTATTTCACCTCAAAAAAACATGAAAACAGTTTTTCATTTTAAAAGCAGTTGTGTAAATCTTCATGCCTCCTGTACATGCTGAAAAGAACTAAATCATTTACAGATTGTTACAACTAAGCATTTAGCTATTTATCACCAGATTACTGGTTTCTGATTTGAACACCACAGGAATGGGGATGGCAGTAAGGAAGGGTTTGTGAGGAGATGGAAGGAAGCCAGAGAACGTAGCAGTACCTAAAATACAAGGTGATTTCGTATACTTATTTCTAACAGCTTTTAACACACATTTTACTTTTGGTCCCAGATTCCAAGAGTGCTGAATGTTCCATGTTTCTCAAGAACAATTGAGATCTTTTTCCCCTTTCAGAAAACCCAACATTTAAGTCTTTAAAAGAAGGCAGGCCCAGCCAGTGCCCAAACTTTCTCTGACAGTACCTTCCTTTCCAAGGGTCCAACTTTCTTCAGTACTCCAATACACTCTGCTCCAAGGCTCCACTCAAGCATTCCTAGGCTACTTTTCAGTCTCCACACATCCAGCTTTAATGAGGCCATCCTTCAGGAAGCAAAAACCACACACATGCTCCCACTTCCGCTGGGCCTACTTTATATAAGCTACAGATCCATCCCATTTCTAGCAGCCTTTGAGAGGATTATGGTTGATTGGATCCACCTACAGCTGCCTAGTTTTGTTTCCTGGATGTGACAATTCACTCTCAAACTACACTAAAATAGGACCTGGGCCAATCAGCCCGTTCTGAATTCCCAGTTGCTTGAACAGAGTAAAACTTTTGAGATCAGTTGTTCACCTTCCTTTGGTAGGAAATCCAAAGAGTTACTTCTGTACCTAATATAACTGCATTAGAACCCAAACCTTTGTTTTTTCTATGCCCCAAGACTACCACTTCAGTTTCATAGCTTCTTCCACTTAGGCACAAGGAACTGAAGCACGTTACAAACTCAGAATATCACCCTTGTGAATGCTGGTAATACAGTGCCATATTAACTTCTACAATTAATTTCCAACTGAGAAGATTGTTCCCTTGCCTGTGAGATATAGCCATCCCATTGGTATAGCTCCTTTCCCAGTAAGATGTGGCTCAAGAGTTCCACAAAAACAGAATCTTCAAGCATAAACATTTAGTTACTTATCACTCGATTAGTGGTTTGTGACCTAAAGTGATTTGACTAACTGTGGAGCCAACAATCCACTTCCAATATTTTTGGTCTTCTGACGCTCGTCGGACCAGTAGGATCCTGAGAAGGGTCACTTAGATTTTCCTTTTCTTCCATTGTGTGCCAGGATTCCTGTGATCTCTGTGTATTTCATGTGATGCTGTGCCCCACTTAGTCCAATGTGTGTCATCATCAGTGGAGAGTTGCCAATCCTGCCTAATCCTTCAGTTACAATGCATATCTTCAGGAAACCAGCACAGTATCCTATAGTCCTAGTGATCCTTGCTGAATTCTGTGTTTGTTCTTAATATGGAGTCAGCAATGAAGGTGATTTGCTTTCTCAGGATAGTTAAAGGACCTCTCTTGGCTGCTGGTTATTTGATACCACAGAGACACTTATCAGCTATAGCCTTGTTGCTTTCTGTTCCATTACTCTAGAGACAGGTTCAGCTCTGGGAGTAGAATATCCTCATCTCTTTGTGACAAAAAAAAGGGACATATCACATGGGAGGACTATTATATATTTTGTCAGCCAGTCAAACCCCAACACCTTAAATCAAGCTTCATGTACATTATGGAAGTGTGGTGGGAAAGTGATATTTGGCAGCATATTGCACAAGAACAAAGTTTTGGGTCAGGGAGTGACTTATTCCAGCAACTTCAGAGTAGCCTGATGGTCACAGGTTTGTAGCACATGGGATGATCAGAAACATTGTGTCATATATATTTTGTGAAATCCCAGCTTCTAATTCAAACAATATGTATGTAACAGGATGCACGACCCACCCTCCTTTCTGGTGTTCGCTTGCCCTCCCAAATAAGGTTTGGAAACCTTCATTGTAATGCAACATCCCCGTCCTGTATTCTTTTGCAGTTTCCCTACCACCATTGTCCCATGAGATACAAACTTTACAGGGTTTTTCTCCACTCCCAGGCAGAGCCAGTCACTAGCTATGAGGCTTCCAACTCCCTTGCTAACTGACGTCTCCCTAAATTCTGGCTCCTTCCCAGTCTTTGTAGCCTCTGGCTCCAAAGGCCAGCAGGTGTTTCCAATATTCAGACAGGCATCAAACTTTTCCACTAGCCCCTATATGTTCCTCTTGACCTGCATGCTATCTGGGAGGATCTGTACAAACTGTTCCAGAACCACTTGATCCATGATCTGTCCCACTGTTTGGGCATTGGACCTCAACCATCCCGTAGCCCAGTCTGTCAATTTATTTGGGCAAAGTCCCAGGGTCCCATGCTCCCTTTCCACCAAACTGACAAACGTTTGCTGGTACCTTTTAGATAAAAGCTCCAGGCGGTTCAAGATGGCTGCCTTCACCCTATCACAGTCCCTGACCTATGCATCTGTCAGGGCCATATATGCCTTTTACACTTCCCTAGCAAGGTATGGAGTTAGCCGCAGGGCCCAGGTTAGCCTGTCCCACCCAGCACCCAAGCCCTCCCACTTAAAAGTGCCCAAGAAGGCATCAGGGTCATCAGCAGCTGCCATTTTACAAAGGCTGAGCATTGGTGGGTTGGTGCCATCTTGCCATCCCACCCACCTACCCACACACACGATTCAATAGTGTCTGGAGGAGCTGCTGCTGCACTGCACAACAGGTGACTTTTCACATTTAGTTTACACACAACTTCTTTGCTGAATAGTGGTCACTGAGTTGGGATAAATTGTGCCGTAAGATGTTCATGCCCAGATTCTGGGATTCCAACTAAACCACTGCACATCTTGAGTAACTCCACTGAAGTGGTTCTATGATTCTATAATTGATTTAACAGACTCTCTGTACACAAACAAGCATGACGCATATATTTGGATGAGCTTAGATATGTGCTCTACAGCATAGCAGCAGCATTGCCAAGCTTGGGAAAAGCAAAAGTCATTCTCTGGCAGTGTTTCCATCTGGGCAGCATGCCAGCACTCCTGTACATTCCACAATGCCAAGAAATGCTCAAATATCTTATATACTCCTCTGGAACAAATTGTTTTCTACAAACTATGATTTACTTTTAATTGCATTATTAAATCAATTTTTATGAATCATGTAATTCCAAGACTAAGTGTCATGGGTCATGTCCATTCTGTATGTTTGATTACTTCTGCAGAACTAAGCCATAAACCTGTGGTCCCCAACACGGTGCCCGCGGGCGCCATGGCGCCTGCGGGCGCATTTGAATGCGCCCGCCAGGTGCTCAGGGCTGGCCTGGCCTCGGGCACATGGCGCACGGGCGCTTGCGGGGGGAGCGCGCTTGGCGGGGGGAGCACCGGGCGCGCGGCACTCG